TGATATTACAGTATGAACAATCTAACCCTTTGCTAAACTTTTTGTAAGGCGGTCTTATTACTGCTTCCTTACTAATGATACAGTATCTGCCAGTTTTTACATTAGCCAAATCTCCTCTTATTATAGCATCAGATTGGATAATGACTTTTCCTTGTAGAACTATGTTTTGAGATCCACACAAAACTGTTCTACGACTTACACGATTTCCAGAGGCCTAGTAAAAAGATAATTATCTTCTAAGTGAAATAAAACTTTTAAAGTTAAAATCTTACTGTTTCAACGTATTCACTTCTATCATAATTAATGTCTCGCATTTCCATTTTCACTTAGAATGCTGAATCTGATTCACAAATAAACTTGGCTGTTATAACCTCAAACTTAACTCCATAGATTTACTTGTCTATTTCATTAAAAGGTGTAAGAATAATCTTTCAAACTTCTTATTAATTCTTTTATATTGTATACCTTTATTTTAAAACAGGTATATATTATTTAAAAGGAAGCTACAACTTGCAAATTATAATTTGTATAAATTAGAAAGAATACTTTAATAGTACTTTATTATTCTTGATTAGAATCTACATTTTCAGTTTGTACTCCTTTAAAAGCCGCAACAGGCACATACGTAACCAAGGTAAAAAGTTTATGAGCGGAGTCTTCATCATCATTTCGTCTGCGAGAGAGTCTCACTCGAATTCGGAAAGGTACATTCCTAAAAACGAAAATAGGAGGAAACAGGATAATACAAATATGCCGTCAATTACCTTATGCCTTTTGACCACAATTGCTTGTTTAGTCTTGTATCAATTCTTACATCAGGGGTTCCCATTTGTTTTTCTGCAAATTTTCTAATTTCCTTAATTGCTCTTGGAGCTCGTTTCTTAAACCCAACTCCATGTAACCTTTTATGTAGATTTACAGTGTATTCTCTGGTAACAACTTCATTAATTGCAGATTTTCCTTTTTTCTCGCCCTTCTGTTTTGCCATTTTATGTATATTCTAACCCTATCTATAACATCCAAAAAGTTGTTTCAACTTAAAAAATCTTCCTAAAACGACTGAAGCACAGTTTCTAAAATATTGTAAAATTTGCCTTTGGAAAAAAATATTAATATTTATTACGATGTAAACTGATAAAAGTAATATTTACCTACACGTCCGATCACAGTAACAAAAGGGGTTATGTGCATAGATTATGTTGGCTCTGTGGGTTATGACCATAGACGTTATGCCCATAGATAGATTGTGACCATGTTGTGGCGTTATGGCTATTAGACCGTATCACAGAAAAGTATCGATTCTTTGGTAATTCTAGGAACAATTCCTTACTATTTATGATGAATTTGACACCCGTTATAAATTATTTACTTATTTAAACATTACCAATAAATTGGACATCGTTTGTGCGTCCTAAATATGTTTGTAATGTAATTGTAAGACTATTTGTTTTGCTTAAATTTTTAATTAGTGTGAGGCGTTACTTTAGCCATTATACGTAAGTCAGCTATTTTATTATTATTTTATCTGTGGTTACTTGTCAGTTTGTGTTCTATGGCTTGTGTCAGTTGCTATGTTTGATTTCATTTATTTAAAAGAAAATATAAAAACCCATGAAATATGAATTGGAGAAGAACGCAGACAAAATAGAAAACGTAATAATAATCTCTCATTTTGCTTGTCTTTTTATTATTTTGTATCCACTGATTAATATAACTAATTCCTTCCTTTTTGTGTTTTTAGTGTCACTCTGGTCAATGGCGATACAATTGTGCCTTTCCTGTGCTCCATTTGCTGTTCTTTTATAGAATTTGAAAGATACTACATTTAATATGGTAGGATTTCACCATTTATGTTTCAGAGTAATTGTTGTGCTTTAGAATCTAAAATATTCAGGAGTTTTTGTTTTCAAACTCACTGAAAAACTTATCAATGATCACAGTGTCTTAGTATTCTAAGTTGTTAATGTGTGATAATTGTTATTTATATGACATGTACAGTATGCAAAAATAATCAGAAAGAAATGTTAATCTTTTTTTGAAACACATTATTCTTTAACTTAATTGATTGACTTGACCCTCATTTCATTTCATTTTGTTGTAGTATATTGAACTATTTACCTACTGAGTTTTCTCTCCCGCTAGTGTTTTGGGTTTTTGACTTTCAAGCCACTAACACTACATTGAAATGGTAGGAATTTTTGTACCATTAAAGAATTTTATATTTAAAAAGTACCAGAGTATACTTTCAACACCCAATTTGAAAACGTTTTTATTTCTTGAAAGTACATAAAAGGATTAAAGTTGTTGTGGGGCAACAGGGGGAAGAATTTTATACTTGGGAATTACCGTGGTGTACCTTGAACCCCCTTTTTACTTATTTTTTTGAAAAATATGTTGAAAGTAAAAAAAGAATTTTGTATTTTAAATTAAAAACGTTATCATTTCTTAGTAAATTACTTACTAAATGAGTTAAAAATACTAAAGTTCTTGTTATACATCAGTGAAAACAACATTATAGTGGTAAATTATCAGGGTGCACTTTCAACCCATCAATTTAAAAACGTCGTTTTTGTTTTTTGATATATTAACTTCTTCGTTATGAAACTAACTGAAAGTACCAAAACTTATTAAATGAGTCGTGGGTAGATAGGGACTAAAATTATGTAACTCAACCTTACGAGTAAACATTTTAAACCCTCTTTAAAGACGGAGTCTAAGGGAATAAAAGAATTAAAACTGATAATGCAGCACTGCAATGAGAATACTTTGCAGTACAATGGGTTGCCTACGAACAGATTTTTAATTATTTTAAATTTAAATTGTATGATACCTTCGCGCGAAATTGAAACGCTATGTGTGAGTCGAAGTTTGCAAGCATAAATATATTTTTGCTTGAAAAAGTAGTTCTTGGGGATGAACAATTAGGGAGTGTCATGTATATGTGTGAGGTCGTGAATTACCCTGTTTATTTTTTATATATTATAGCCTGTAAACAATATTCTTTCTGTTTCAGCATCCTGAACAATTTGCCTACCATAAGAATACTTTGGACTTCACTTTAGACTTTTAAAGAAAGGTAAGACTTTATTTAACAGTTTTTCTTAATATTTTCTTACTAAAATCGTAATTGTTTTAGCACTTCGAACAATTCGCCTACGGAGTTTTGTCTGTGTTTTGGGTTATTGACTGTAATTGTGATGGACATCAGAACGTTGTTACAGAATTATTTTTGCCAGTTGATGCACGCGACATTCAAAAGGTAGGATTATTTTTTTGATCTTTTCTTTAAATTTAAAATTAATTTTTTCCTTATTAAACGAGCCGAAAGTGTCAAAATGTAATAACTTTGCTATGGGACATCAGTGAGAAGAACTTTATAGTTCGAAATCACCGGAATGCACATTCAACCCCCAATTTAAATACGTCGTTTTTTTTTTTTGATAAATGAATTTTTCGTTTATGAAATAAACTGAAAGTACGAAATATATTAACGTTATAGGGCATCAATGAGAAGGATTTTATAGTTGAAAATTATCGGGGTGCGTCTTTAATCTCTAATTTAGGTAGTTTTTTGAAAACGATGTCATTTAAGGAGTTAGATCTGCTTGACCATGAGAATACTTTGCAGTACGATGGGTTGCCTATATGATGCACTAGTAATCACAAAGAGTATTTGAAATTATATTTTCCTGGAAATTAAATGGGTGTTCATTAGTCTAGATCGGTGATTCTCAACCGGTGGTTCGCAAACCCCTGGGGGTTNTGGAGTATGAAAATAAGAAAGAACTGGGCAAGCTGTTCACTAAAAACTACGGAAATATAATAAAAGATTTTATAAAAGACGACCACGACCATTCCTATTCTATTTGTTCTTTATCTGTTCAACTATTCACCGTCCCCACGTTGGCACATCATTTAATTGCTAACGACGACGTACTGTTTATATTGTTAAATGCGTTTCTTTCGGAATGCTCTAGAAAGTGCAATAAAGAAGGCAGGCTCGAATTCGAACGCGTTTCTAGTCAAGCTTTTAAACGTGCTCAGTACATGCTTTATGACCTAAGGTATCTTTTGAGTGCCGTTCCAGAAAATTGGTTCGATGAATTAAGAAAGAGCTTTCTCCAAGGTCTCTCTATCATGCTAAACCTGTTTACAATGATGCAAGGAATGGACTCTGTGTCCCGTCAAACAGGTCAACATATGGAATATGAGCCCGAATGGGAAACGGCTTTCAACTTACACATTCGCTTGGCTTATAGCATCTCGTTAGCTGTAAAATGGTGCAGTACTGATAAAGTTGTTCTTGTAAAAGCTTATCGAGCTACATTAAAGAAATTATTCGAAAATCCCTGTTACGATCCCGACGAGCCGGGCGAAGTAAAAGAATTGGCTGATCATAGTGTTGCATTGATGATGTACGACGTTTCCTCTAAGCCTGTATCGATTCATCTTCCGTTAACTAGGTTTCTAGCCGGGCTGCACTTATCATTACAGAATTTCGGCCTGACTTTCGATTCTCCCGAATTTCAGATTTCCAAACCAACTCCAGTTCAACTAATTGAACCCGTGCTTAGATGTCAAGTAATGATTGCCCAAGTACATGCGGGTATGTGGCGTAGGAATGGCTATGCTCTCTTAAACCAACTCTTTTTCTATCACAATGTGAAATGTCGTACCGAAATGCTGGACCGTGATGTTCAAATGCTTCAAATTGGAGCATCTTTAATAGAAAGCAACGAATTTTTAATGCATATGCTAAACAAGTTCAATCTTATCACTTGGGCAAACCCGAATTTTGAAATAATTAGTTTAAAGAATCCAGAAGAAGATGGCACTAGACAAATCATTACCATCGTCGAGGAATTTTTGCATCTCTTAATCGCAATTGTTGGAGAAAGGTAACAACAGATTTAAGCTATAGTCAGATCTAAATAATTTAAAATACCATTTTCTCAAAAAACTTACAAACTACTGAATTTAACTTCGCTTTTGTCCCAATTAAATGAAAGTTGAAAGTGCGACCAGTTTACGTCTTGATTTAATTACTTTTTTAACAAAACAAATAAAAAGAAATAGAATTTTATGATTGTTATAAAATTATAAACTCTAAATATTTTGCTTGGTAATATTTATTTGATTCATGGAATTATTGTTTTTGTTTAAATATTTGACTGTGATGTTATTTAATAATAAAGTAAATCATATTTTAATATACAAACCATATATTAAATATTGTCTTTAGGTACGTGCCTAACATTGGACAAGTAACAACAGAAGATCGAGTCAAAAAAGAAATAATTCAGCAACTTTGCATCAAACGATTACCACATTCAGAACTAAACAAATGTATACCAGATGATATAACACACGAAACTGGGTTGGATGAAGTTATTGAAGAGCTTGCCGTATTTATCAAACCACACGGGAATGGAAAAGGAGTGTATGAGCTCAAGAAACAATACTACGATGAATACAACGTTTTCTTCTACCACTACACAAGAGAAGAATTATCTAAATCCGAAGAAGCTCAACGCGAAAGACGCAAAACTGCTGGGGAATTGGATTGTTGTCCTCCTCCAAAATTGCCCAAGTTACATGAAGCTTTTACCATGTTAGTAAATCTTCTTCAGTGTGACGTCATGTTACATATTATGAAAACAATTCTGGAACGATGCCAGAACCTGAAGGCCAGGAGCTTTTCTGAGTCACAACTTCACAAAATATTACATCTAATTGGGTATGCCTTACAGGAAGAACAATCTGGTTATTATCCGTTTCTCTTGTTCTGCGACAAAGCTGAAAAATGGCGAATCCCTGAAATGCTTGATGATCTTGTCAACAGTCCAAGAATTGAGGCGCACAAGGATCTACTCCGTTGGACTATTTTAAAATTTAAAGAAGTATCAAAGAAGGGACTAGTTAAAAGCGAGCTTGCTTCCACAATATGCTTAAGTGATGTAGCGTCATCAGCAAATATGACCGAAGTCGATGACGAAAAGCAGCGAAGAGCTAAATTAGCTGCTCAACGAAGAGCCAAGCTTATGGCCCAAATGCAAGCTATGCAAAATTCATTCATGAAAGAAAATGCAAAGTTATTTGAAGAAACGAATACGGAATTGCTGAAGAGTTCTGCTAATTTAAGAAATTCTGCAATGGACATAACTGAAAAAATTGAAGAACAGGCAATTGCTTTAGGTAAGCTACGTTTATTGAATATTATGTATCAAATAAATTATGAGTGCTGTCAGCACAGGGCAAAGTAGTATACGTAATTAGTATCAGCAATTTCTTATGCCAAGTGTATGATGTGTTGCATACCTATTTAGAAACAATTTCTTTAAATGTAATTTTTCAAACAATTTTTAACACAAAGAAACTGATTAAACAAATTGTTCACAAAAGTGAATTTCGACCACTCGAATCAATGGTGCTAACAGTTTCGAGCTCACAGTGACTGATAGGGGTGAAGAATATGTCTTAGTAAAAATAGTTATTAATTATAAATCTGTCTTAGATCCCAAAGTAATTATGTAATATATGACACCCTGCTTGAATTGCGAAACCTGTTCTTAAAAATAAAAACAGTTGTGAAAGTAACGTTAGATATATTTATTTTTACTTTTCTAGGTCCAAATCAGACAACACGGTTTAATATTGAAAGGACATACACATGTATTCTGTGCCAGGAAGAGCAAAAATTAGATTTAGAGGGACCCGTTCTGGTAATGGTAGCTTTCGTTCAACAAGCAACTGTACTGTGTGTTCATAGAAGTGAATCAGCTTTGGACATCAATAATCACGATCCATTGTTTTTGAACGCTAATTTAGGACCGGCACCTCATACCAGTACGTGCGGTCATGTCATGCACGCAACATGCTGGCAGAAGTATTTCAACAACGTTATGCTGAAGGAACATAAAAGACCGTATCGAGTAAGACATCCAGCTAGTTTCGACGTAGATAAGCAAGAATTTCTTTGTCCGTTGTGTGAACGCCTAAGTAACACAATACTACCTCTTGTGCCGCCTCTTTGTTCGATTCAACCAAGCCATCCAAGGAATTATATTAGCATTGAAGATTTTGTTAACTGTATGCTGATTACTTTACAGAAAGTCGAAAAGGTAGGTGTATATAAATCTAAGTGTAGCGAAAATTGTACCAACATTCATTGCAATGCATGTGAGAATGGAAATAGCAATGAAACAGATTCCTCTCCGTCCGAATGCGAATCAAATTGTATCGCTCTCACGTGCCCTTACGAACCCACCATTGAAGATGTAGGAGACATTGCCGAATATTTTAAAGCCCTATTTCCTACTACTTGCCCAAAACTTACAGAAAAACTCATCGAAATGCTTCATTCATTTATACAGATGGCATATATGATAGGACTTAATGTTAACCCTCATCCTACTGACAAAAGACTTGTACCTATGACTTGGAAATCGTTTAGTTATACGGTTCATACAATTGAAATCTTACTTAGAGACGCAAACAAGCCACTACTGGGACATCTTTCTAGCCGTCATGGAGACTGTTTAGAAAATTTTGTGAGAATATTAGGTGTTTTGGGAAGTTCTTGGCCAAAGTGCAACGTAATAACTAGTCATGCAATTCGGTTGTTATCGATTATTTTAAACCATTCTAATGAAGACCCTTCGATTTTGTACTGGGATTCATTCGGAATGCTTGTCCCCTTGACGTTTTCATTGCCTGCACTCTTTTCTAAAAATCAATCAGCACCGATTCCTACGGGAGGCAGTCTTGAATGTTACAGTCTTCATTTGGTTTTTGCCGCTCACATTGTTAAAATATTAGCTACATTGAATTTGGGGGAGTGTAGTACCACTATGGAAACAGATCGTGACGATGATATGAAAAAAGTAGTAGAATGTGAAGAATCTCACTCCACTCAAATGGATACGGATAACGAAACTGATTTTAAAGAAATAATGGACGTTTTAAAGTTACTGAATAGAGATCCGAAAGACCTTACTGGTCAAGAAATTTGGGAACAGGTAAAGGAAGCTTGTCGGCCATTTTTACGCTGCTGTGTTTTATTTTATCATTACTTAACAAATGTGGCTACCAGATCTACACTTACTGAAATTGGAGGTGACAGCTTTTCTAATATGTGTTCTTATCTAGCGCTTCCAGAGTCTCCTCAAGGTCTTTTAAGGTCTGCTGTTATTCAGAATCTTATAAAGAAATGGTGTTTACACCCTGAAGTAATCAGTTACATTATGCATGGCGATGCAACGGAAATTGTCAAAGAACCTCCCCCAATTAACCAGTTGATAAGTTTACCCACTGATTATAGTGAACTTGTTAACACCGTTTCGTCATTCACTTGCCCTAATAGCGATCATGAAGATTCTCGAAATCCGACGATGTGCCTGGTATGTGGAGAGATACTTTGTTCTCAGAGTTACTGTTGTCAAATGGAACTCAATAAGACGGTGGTCGGAGCATGCAATTATCATGCACACAAATGTGGAGCCGGAGCAGGTATCTTTTTGAGGGTTAGAGAATGCGAGATACTATTTTTAGCGAGTCCGATGAAAGGTTGTTTCGTATCGCCTCCCTACTTAGATGAATACGGCGAAACAGATCAAGGATTAAAACGTGGCCACCCCTTACGCCTTTGTCCGGATAGGTACAAAAAACTTCATACGCAATGGTTAAGCCACAGCATTCACGAGGAAATTGCCCGTGCAATCGATTCTAGCCACACAGTAACACAGTGGCAACACCTGTAAAATATGCAAATCGACTAATTAACAATTGTGTGATTTGTAACTGTGAAATGTTATTAAGTATTAGGAGTCCTTAGAAAAACGATGATCTTGTTCAACATTTTATTTATGAAAAATGAAAATCTTACATAAGGGAATGATTAGAACGATTATATTTTAGTTGCAATGCTATTTAATCTCCTGCACTTGCCACAATTTTGTAAAACAACAAAAACTAATTTGGATAGGATCTCGATCATAAATTGTAAAGGATTTGTTGAAACTTTTGGCTTTATTTAAAAATAAATGTAAATTTAATGTATACGAAGTTCATTTTGGAATGGAATTCGTTGAAACCATGAACTTTTCAATAAGGAATACAAAAATGTAAATGGGCATGCTGGTATTTGCAGATGTTGAAAACAGCAAATTGAAGAACAATTTGTTTCACTGCCACTCGCAGAATCGACTATTTTTTAAGGTCAATGTTTTATTGCAATTTATAACGGTCGAGTTTTTTAAATAGGTATTAAAGGCATCTTTTTTTTAATTTCTGGTCCAGTTATTTTAAAAAATTGATATGAGAAATCCAACATATACATATTTATTATTAATTGGATACAATGTTTATTAGAAATTGTGCTTTAAATAATAATATTAGGTATTGGATAGTAAAAGATGCACTCTTTACATTGAAATTAAAGTTTTGGTACAAAATGTTGATAGTAACTTCTGGTAAAGTCTATCATTAAATCTTGCTGGCATTCAGGAACTTCACCAACTTGGATACCTGGTGATCCACTATACCTTGTAAAAGGAGGTACTACTGTTTCTGGAGCAAGGATAGTATTATCTTCAATAACACAACAATCTCTTAAGTGGCATCTACGTCCCTGTTATAAAAAATCATTTATCGTTTATACTGATAGTATAAGAAATTGAAAATACATTTTAAGGAGTAATTACATAAAATATTTTAGTTCTAATATGAGTACCTAGTGGAGTCCACTTATGACATTAATGAATTATTGACTATCAAGTTTATTTACCTTATTTGTTTCTTTGGCAAAATTTAAATGCAAAGTAAAATGTTACATTTAGAAGTCTCTAAACTAAAACGATACTCTATTTATCAAATTGAAAGATGTTAGATATAAAATTACTGAAATTTGATAAATTAATTTTTCTTTTATGAAATGAACTGAACGTACTAAAATGTATTAACGTTATGGGACATTAATGAAATGATTTTATAGTTAGAAATTATCGGGGTGCATCTTTAATCCCCAATTTAAAATTTTTTCTTTTATTGAGAAATTAATTCTTCCGTTAACGAACTGAAATGACCAAAATTTAGTAAAGTAGTTGTGGGGGAACGCAAACTAAAATTAGGTAGTGAAAACTTATTGCTGAATATTTTAAAACCCCCTTATTGAAAACAGTCATTTAAGGAGTTAGAGCTGCTTGACCATAATACTTTGCAGTACGGTGGGTTGCCTATATGATGCACGAGTAATCGCAAACGGTATTTAAAATTATTTTCCTGGAAATTAAATGAATGCTTATAACTTAATTAAAATTCTAGAAGCCCTTAGCTAAAATGATACTCTATTTATCAAATTGAAAGATATGCTAGATATATAATTACTGAAATTCATTACCAATACAACATTTCTTCCGATATAAACATAAGATCCTATGTTTGCAGCATTAACTACAGATCTCTCACCAACATATACATGGTCACCCATAGTTAAAGGAAAAAATGCAACCCTAAAAGATAATGGCATTAATCCGTTAAATGATATTACAGTATGAACAATCTAACCCTTTGCTAAACTTTTTGTAAGGCGGTCTTATTACTGCTTCCTTACTAATGATACAGTATCTGCCAGTTTTTACATTAGCCAAATCTCCTCTTATTATAGCATCAGATTGGATAATGACTTTTCCTTGTAGAACTATGTTTTGAGATCCACACAAAACTGTTCTACGACTTACACGATTTCCAGAGGCCTAGTAAAAAGATAATTATCTTCTAAGTGAAATAAAACTTTTAAAGTTAAAATCTTACTGTTTCAACGTATTCACTTCTATCATAATTAATGTCTCGCATTTCCATTTTCACTTAGAATGCTGAATCTGATTCACAAATAAACTTGGCTGTTATAACCTCAAACTTAACTCCATAGATTTACTTGTCTATTTCATTAAAAGGTGTAAGAATAATCTTTCAAACTTCTTATTAATTCTTTTATATTGTATACCTTTATTTTAAAACAGGTATATATTATTTAAAAGGAAGCTACAACTTGCAAATTATAATTTGTATAAATTAGAAAGAATACTTTAATAGTACTTTATTATTCTTGATTAGAATCTACATTTTCAGTTTGTACTCCTTTAAAAGCCGCAACAGGCACATACGTAACCAAGGTAAAAAGTTTATGAGCGGAGTCTTCATCATCATTTCGTCTGCGAGAGAGTCTCACTCGAATTCGGAAAGGTACATTCCTAAAAACGAAAATAGGAGGAAACAGGATAATACAAATATGCCGTCAATTACCTTATGCCTTTTGACCACAATTGCTTGTTTAGTCTTGTATCAATTCTTACATCAGGGGTTCCCATTTGTTTTTCTGCAAATTTTCTAATTTCCTTAATTGCTCTTGGAGCTCGTTTCTTAAACCCAACTCCATGTAACCTTTTATGTAGATTTACAGTGTATTCTCTGGTAACAACTTCATTAATTGCAGATTTTCCTTTTTTCTCGCCCTTCTGTTTTGCCATTTTATGTATATTCTAACCCTATCTATAACATCCAAAAAGTTGTTTCAACTTAAAAAATCTTCCTAAAACGACTGAAGCACAGTTTCTAAAATATTGTAAAATTTGCCTTTGGAAAAAAATATTAATATTTATTACGATGTAAACTGATAAAAGTAATATTTACCTACACGTCCGATCACAGTAACAAAAGGGGTTATGTGCATAGATTATGTTGGCTCTGTGGGTTATGACCATAGACGTTATGCCCATAGATAGATTGTGACCATGTTGTGGCGTTATGGCTATTAGACCGTATCACAGAAAAGTATCGATTCTTTGGTAATTCTAGGAACAATTCCTTACTATTTATGATGAATTTGACACCCGTTATAAATTATTTACTTATTTAAACATTACCAATAAATTGGACATCGTTTGTGCGTCCTAAATATGTTTGTAATGTAATTGTAAGACTATTTGTTTTGCTTAAATTTTTAATTAGTGTGAGGCGTTACTTTAGCCATTATACGTAAGTCAGCTATTTTATTATTATTTTATCTGTGGTTACTTGTCAGTTTGTGTTCTATGGCTTGTGTCAGTTGCTATGTTTGATTTCATTTATTTAAAAGAAAATATAAAAACCCATGAAATATGAATTGGAGAAGAACGCAGACAAAATAGAAAACGTAATAATAATCTCTCATTTTGCTTGTCTTTTTATTATTTTGTATCCACTGATTAATATAACTAATTCCTTCCTTTTTGTGTTTTTAGTGTCACTCTGGTCAATGGCGATACAATTGTGCCTTTCCTGTGCTCCATTTGCTGTTCTTTTATAGAATTTGAAAGATACTACATTTAATATGGTAGGATTTCACCATTTATGTTTCAGAGTAATTGTTGTGCTTTAGAATCTAAAATATTCAGGAGTTTTTGTTTTCAAACTCACTGAAAAACTTATCAATGATCACAGTGTCTTAGTATTCTAAGTTGTTAATGTGTGATAATTGTTATTTATATGACATGTACAGTATGCAAAAATAATCAGAAAGAAATGTTAATCTTTTTTTGAAACACATTATTCTTTAACTTAATTGATTGACTTGACCCTCATTTCATTTCATTTTGTTGTAGTATATTGAACT